GGGTCGGGAGATGAAATGATGGCTCGCGCCGGGGCCGGGCGCGGCAGTTGAGGCGGCGCGGGAACAACTGGGATGAACCGGGATCGGAAAGCGCGAAGGGAAAAGCCGATCGGGAGCCGCCGACGACGTCACGGTCGCCCGGGCAACGGATCGGGATGAGGCTTCCCCGGGATCCCGGGAGAGGGCGCAGAGCTCGACCCTCGCCGCGCGCCGCGACGCCGAGCTCGGAGCGCGGCGCCGCGCGCACAAAATCAATTTAGTCTACCGAGAACGCTCGGCAAGGTTGGAGGGCGACGCGGCGCGGGAAAGTGAATCTTCGGAGCCCGAGCACAGAAATCCCGAGCAGAGGGAGAAGTGAAGGTGAAGGTGAAGGGAGGAGTGCGATGAGGCCTCGGAGAGGCGTGCGAGTCCGAGTGGGAGGTGCGGCGCGGCGACAGCGCCTGGACCGCCCAGGCCGCGCCAGGTGAAGTGATCAGTGCCGAGTTTCGATCGCCGGCTTCGCCAAAAGATTCCACCGCATAGCATGGCCTCGGTCGCCGCTTGGCTTCCCTTCGCCAGGGCGGCGGCCATTGGATGGGTGCCGATCGCGACGCACCCGCTCCCGCCGCCGCCGATCCCCAAGGACCGCCGGAAGACCGACGACGAGAAGCTCCTCATCAACGTCTCCGGGCGGCGCTTCGAGACGTGGCGCAACACCCTCGAGAAGTACCCGGACACCCTCCTCGGCTCCAACGAGCGGGAGTTCTTCTACGACGAGGAGTGCCGCGAGTACTTCTTCGACCGCGACCCGGACATCTTCCGCCACATCCTCAACTACTACCGCACCGGGAAGCTCCACTACCCCAAGCACGAGTGCCTCACCAGCTACGATGAGGAGCTCGCCTTCTTCGGCATCCTCCCGGACGTCATCGGCGACTGCTGCTACGAGGACTACCGGGACCGCAAGCGCGAGAACACCGAGCGGCTCATGGACGACAAGCTCTCCGAGAACGGGGACCAGAACCTCCCGCAGCTGACCAACATCCGCCAGAAGATGTGGCGCGCCTTCGAGAACCCGCACACCTCGACGGCGGCCCTCGTCTTCTACTACGTCACCGGGTTCTTCATCGCCGTCTCCGTCATGGCCAACGTCGTCGAGACGGTCCCGTGCGGGCATCGACCCGGGCGCGCCGGCTCCCTCCCCTGCGGCGAGCGCTACAAGATCGTCTTCTTCTGTTTGGACACGGCCTGCGTCATGATCTTCACCGCCGAGTACTTGCTCCGGCTCTTCGCCGCGCCGGCCCGCTTCAAGTTCGCGCGGAGTGTCATGAGCATCATCGACGTGGTGGCCATCCTCCCGTACTATATCGGGCTCACGTTGACGGACAACGACGACGTCAGCGGGGCGTTCGTCACCCTCAGGGTTTTCCGCGTCTTCCGGATCTTCAAGTTCTCGCGGCACTCGCAGGGGCTCCGGATCCTCGGGTACACGCTCAAGTCGTGCGCCTCCGAGCTCGGCTTCCTCGTTTTCTCCTTGGCCATGGCCATCATCATTTTCGCCACCGTCATGTTCTACGCCGAGAAGAACGTAGACGGCACTAATTTTACGTCCATTCCGGCCGCCTTCTGGTACACCATTGTCACCATGACGACGTTAGGGTAAGTCTCACCCCTCTCTTTTCTCTACTCCGAAAACGAAAGACTCGCTGGTTTGTGTCTCCAGATCAAGCTCGGTCGAGGCTAGAGGTAAATACCGAGGACAAAGAATAAAAGTCGATGCCAGCGGGCAGATCGTTGAACTCGAAAGACAAAGCGATAGATAAAGAGCACACTATCGACACTTGTCTCTCCCACTGACTCATTTGTCGCTTCTCTAACGCAAAAGCCTATCTTGATTTCCGCATGAGCCCCAGAAGGCATAGATTTCCGTGTGAAAGAGCGGGCCGATTATTGAAATTGATAGACAAGGCGATAGACAAAGAAGACAAAAAGGATATGGAGGAATCTTATCGGCGTAAGCGGGTGGTTGTACTGGAAAAAAAGCACATTGGATCTAGAGTCCAGACTCTTAAAAACACCGACAAGAAAAAATACTCTTGATTCAATCGGATTTTTTCTTAAATGAAGAACCAAGCCTCTTAATTTGAGCGGATTTCCTTTTGATTTAAGCAAAAATCTAATCGAATCAAGATAATTTTTTCTTGTCAATGTTTTCAAGAGTCTGGACTCTAGATCTAATGCGTTTTTTCCAGTGTGCAATAGGTAATTGACTAACTAACGCCAACCCACCGGAGACCCAATAGTTTGTCCATCACTTTCTCTCTTGGTCTACAGGAACCTCCTATTTCAACCAATAGGATCGCTCCATAGTCCTCATGTCTTCTTTGTCCATCGCTTTGTCTATCCATTTCATCAATCAGCCCGTAGACTCTAATCCCGAAGAAATTTAGCCGCCAGTGTTTCTGGCAGTGATTACAATGAGTCTGGTAAATGTGTTGGTGAACTCCTCGGGATCGTTGTACGCAGTGTCCTAGGCTTGGTTCGCCATATTGCATGCTGCATTTATACAGGAGCGTGTTCTGTTGGTCTAAATAAAATTTTACCCATGTATAAATGTAACAATCATGGGCAGAAATTCATGAAAAATGGCTACAACCCATAGTTTTCAACGTTGAATTCATCTGTCGCCTTAAAAGTATTGATTTTTCAAGGCAAGGGGAAATTTAAGGGGGTCATGGATGGTCCAGAATGGGAGAATTTTCAGAATAATAACCCTCTGAAACCCCCCCTGTAACTCAATATTTTGATATTTTTAAGGCTATGAATCTGGCGCTGAAAGTTTTGGGAGGAAGGCACTTTTCAGGAGTTTTGGTCCACATCCGTCGTTATAATTAAAAGTGATATGAGTTTTTCAAAAAATATGAGGCCCATCTCTAAATGAGGGTACTACCGGAGAATCATGATATACAGAAAAAGTCTTTTCTTGACCCTTAAAACACGCTTCTACAGCCTGGCGGCTTACTTCTGGGACAACCTCGATAGCTACGCAGTCTATCGTAGCCACTACCATTCTTTTTTATCTGTTTGAGCTCTTCTTAAATTCCGAAATTGCGAAGAAACAAAAAGATCAGCGATAGCACGTTCCGCCCTTTGATCTCCTGAGTGGTGAATTCCGAGTCACAGATAATCCCCTCAGCTTGTTTGTGCTTCGATTGGGTTGCACTGTGCCCACACGATGGGGGTCTTTGAAATGAAAATGCAATTTGTATCCGTAGTGCTGTAAGTATAGTTTTTCTACTCGTTTCTCAGAGCACTAATCTGGAAAAGCGTTTCAGCGGGTTTGTTTGATTGATATAATGATGAGCTTTAAACGCACCGTCGATCGTCAAAATGCGATATGATCGCATACAAACGGATTAAAAGATACATATAGATTATTTATTTTAAAAATCCCGACTTGATTCTTTGGAAATGACATTTACGTGGCTAAATCACACAAAAAATTTAGATGTCATTGTAAACATTTTAAGGTTTCAGATTATACGAAGATGCATTTTTGTTCATTAATGCCCCCTCAAAATGTTATTAATTTGATTGTGTGGCATAAAGCCTTGGTCAACATACTTTATCGGGCTCGTTTTGACAGTCGAGTGATGGAAAAAATTATTTTTGCGGCTCTCAACGTTCCAACTTTAAAATTACGGAGATTTCGAGGTTGTTGACAGTTTTAAAACAGCACATTTATGGTTTAGCTCACAGATGAACGCGCAATTTCAGAGAAAAATGCCCGATTTCCCAATAAAATGTGCAATTTGTCACTTTTGAAAAAAAAAGAAGAAAAAATAGATTATTAGATTTGAAAATGGCCGCACAACCAAACGTTTGCATCACGTTCTCACCGATTCTAGAATCGCTAAATCGGGTATTTTCTTCATCTCTGGGAGATGTGATATACCTAAATTTCGGTGTCTTAATATTTTGCAAGGAGGATAATAGTAAACTTTGATCCTACGCAATAATAAACATTACACTATTTACTTTTTTCGAAAAAAGCCTTTTGTCGATGCACATTGTCATAAAATATACCCCTAAACATCAATAAAATTTCATTGACAAGAACGGAGTCTAATGGGTATAACACTGACTTTAAACGATAAAGCTCATCAGCGGACAAGTATGGGACATCAAAAATTTGACAATGATTGAACATGTTGTTCATTTTGACATGGGTACGTAGTACAGCTTCAAAAGTTATTGTTTCATGTTTGCTTTGTTGAAGAAAAATAAAGTAACATGAGCGGAAAACCGATCCAGGGCGAGAAAACATTGAACATGTATCTTCCAGGGCGGGGAAAACAGCCCCAGAGCATATGCAAATGATTTATTAGCATTGCAAATTCGGATAGCAGAGCACATTTTCAGAAGTATCTACATGCTTCATTTAAGAGATTTTCGTATGGAGTAGCAAACTTTCTCGAATTTTGAAAGGCTTACAATAAACCAGACACAAAAATACAAGAGTAATCTGAATTCTGAAATAAATATTATTTGTGTCGATGGCTGGAGTCGAAAAATGCGTGTCTCAGATCGCGACGTCGTTATGTAAGTCGTAAGTAATTCATGTTTCTCGCGTGTGAAGGAGAATCTCTTAATGATTCCTGCTGAAATTTTCTGTTAATTTTCTTCACTCATTACAAAAAAAAAAAAAAACCTTTTAATCGTAAAGAACCAGTTTGATTAGGTAGAGTAGATTTGATTCTTTGAAGGGCGTAAATGAAAGCATACTTTGAGTTTTTGAAAGTTGTAATTGAGATATGCATTTTTTATATTTATAGCCATCGACACGTGGCGTCGACGGGAGGATGGCAGTGCCGTGGCGTAAATTGCGATATATCGATTGTTATGCCATTTAAGCCCATGGAAACGGATCGATAAACAGGATGTTCGCAGCGAACACCTCATTAATCGATTCTTTACCATAGCTTCAAATGGGGAAATATCGATATATATCGATTCATGCCACGCCACTGGAGGATGGCTGAACTCCGAGAGCACGTATCTAAAAATGGGATGTTGTAGACTTTCTCATCAAAATGCCAAATTGGTAATATTGGGTTGTTTCACCTAACGACAAACGCAAAAATCTTAAAAATTGACCTTGTAGATTTTAGAACTAGCTGTGATGAAGAGGAACATTTTCATTTTGACACAGGTAACTTCGCAATTTCATCGCATCGGTAATGTTGAAAAACCTCGGCTTTTTTAAAACAAATTAACAAGGACGGCTTGAGTAGCCGAAAAAATAGTATAGACCGTTGCGTATATTTAGGACGAACTATGACAAAAATGAAAATTTGGGCAGTCGGAGAGGTATATACATGGAGTGGTTTACATTCTTCAGTGTTCTAATTAAATTTAAATATAGCACAAAAACGATGCGCTGTTTTATTCCTGTTTTTATTTTTTTGCGTTTACCATGTTGACGTTGAAAAATGAGCATCAGTTTAATTAAAAACTTAAAGTTTTGCAGCTATCCAAGTCATCGAGAGAAAGTTTTTAAGCTACTTTCAAAACTTGAGGCTCCTCGGGGCTCGCTGAAATCCTTCATTTAAGCCCAAAGCCCACACATTTTACCTCTTCGAAGGGACTTGTGCCCTCCTGATTCGGTTTAAAAAAAGGAGAGAGAATGGGACTCCCTGGGACTTTGAGCTTCAACGGAAATGAAAAACGCCTCAATTTGAGGAAGCTCTAAAAGGTAGCTTTTACGAGGGAATTAAAAACTCAATTATCTACCTCTTCCTACACTTTCACAGGGCTGTCGGCTTGTCACAAAAATGGACCACCAGACAGTGCACGGAATTAAGTATCAGAGAGCAAAAGTTTTAATCAAAATAGGACATATTTAGGCTTAAAAGAACTATTTGAATCAAATCTAAAGGAACTACGTTCGTAGAACTTACATACTCCATGCATCCCTTTGATTTAATTTATTAATCCGCACACAGTTTTTTCTAGCGTACATATTTTTAACTGCCTGTAGAATACAATGGAAATATCCAAAAAGTCTGAACTATATACCGCATGAAAAAAAAAAATAATAATTTCGAGTACATCGTGGACTTACACTTTCTACTCACAAAAAAAAGAAGGTCAAATTGAGTTAATCGAGCACTGAACTAAGTGTTTTCAATAGGTTTTACATTGCAATATTTTTTTCTGGAGACGTCAATCTTCGAGTTTTTCAATGAACTGTATCGTTACAGGTTCAATGTATCGTTTGGGTCAAAACAACAGAACATAACCTCAATTTTTTTTTTAAATTTATTTTTGCAGTTTATTTGCTTATATTCCAGTTTAGGAATCTACAGCCGTCAATAAATATTGTCAGTAGACATCAGGGTGATTTTTCCACATCTATGCTCCGGCTTTCAAATTTTCAGGGATTAAGGTCGAGTAGAATCTGTTTCTGCAGATTCACTCGTCAGTTTCGTGAAAATTTTTCGCCACCAACGGGATTCGAACCTGGGACCTATTGGTCTAGAGTCAGACGTGCTAGGCCAATCTGGCCGGCTAACCTCAAGCAAAAATGTATGATTTAAGTTAGAAAAGTTGAGACTGAGAAAATCCCTAACAATTTTACCTATCATTACCATTTTGCA